CAGTATTTGCTTGCTCCTATTGTTTTTATTGTTGATTTGTTTTATTGCTTTGGCCTCTATGCACTTTGTTTCAGCTGTTTTAAAGCACATTATAAATAAAGTTGATTTGATTCTTGTCATAACCCGCCGGGAGAACTTTTCACACACACACACACACACACACACACACACACACACACACACACACACACACACATAAGAACTCACCGTGTCAAAGGTCAGACATTCGTAGTCATGTTTGTTCATGCTGAAAGCGCTCAGATGTTGCATTTTACTTCAACTACTTGCTTCCAAAAAAACAAAACTATTCCAACTGTTGTACTTGGAAGAAGACATTTATAAAGACAGTCAAATGTCCAAATTCTCATAGATGGAGATAAAAGAGATGTTTTGCATGGAGGAATGTTTCTGCAGAAAAGCGTGGAGCTTTAAAGAAAGATTTGTGGACAAATAACACCGAGTATCTGAGATTTTTGAGGGGGTTTTTTCTGGAGTGTGGATTCCAGTGGGGAAAAAACCCTGTCCAGTGACGTATCCCATAGTGGGAGGGGATTCTCGGTGCAGTGTGTCTCAGATGCTATGATAGATGTGTGTGTAAACCAACATCAAACAACCACATGACCATGTATCGACTGGCTTTGGATGGAGTATAATGAGCACTTTAGACAAAATATGCAGGATAGTAGACTCTCAAGATCCAGGATTTGACACCTGAAGATTAGAGTAAAAAAAGGCACTAAAGCTTATATATTAGCTATTGTTTTACTGTACAGCAAAAACTTATATTTAACTTAAAACAATTATTTTCAATTTATAGCATCTTCAGGCCTTACCACGGTTGACAGCATAACATAAAGTCACAACCCAAAGTTTTTTCCACACATTGGTAGCATCTCATCAGTGCCAAAGAATAAAAATAAAGAACATCCATGCCAGGCTACCAGTGTTCCCCTTTGGTATTTCACACAGACCAAATGAGTTGCCTCATTGTGTTCTTACACAGCAAACAGTGTCTCATATTCAGCTGACTGACAACAGCATCATCTGTAGGAGCGACACATGCTTTCTTCATAAACTCACTCCCATTCAGCTCTATGAATATGTCACAAAATCAACAGCAGATCAACTTTAAACAACGGCTTTATTTTTATTAATTTTTTTATACCTTACATCAATGGGCAACAAATGCGTATCAGAACTGGCTTTAAAGTGTTGCGTGAAAAGTGAAACTGAATGCAAGAAACAACAACAGATTAAAATGTATGTTTGGGGCGGGCATATTTCACCCTCTGCTGCTCAGTGACCAAACAGGAACATCTAATTAGCCACTTGCTGCCACTGTGATTACATCACCGTTTTGCTTAGTTTTACTCTTGATTTGTATTCTTTAAATAGATACACATAGAAAAGCTTCTGTCTTAAGAGCTAAAACAGCAGATACAGTAAGCGCCAGAAGCAAATGCAAGTTTCTTTTCTAAATTTAATGTGATCAGTTTTTGTATGCAACTAGGCTACATTCACACTTCAGGTCTTAATGGTCACTTCTGATTTTTTTTTTGGACATTCATATTTTATTTCAAATTATATTTACATTTATGTTATATCATGCAACCTCCATGAGACACTAGGATGAACGCTCTATGGCCCTGATGCAAACCACATGCACAGACGATGACGTGACGTCACATTCAGAATGATGTTCACAGAATTAGCTAAACATGGATGAGACTTTTTAGGATGTCGATTCTGAAGTAGCTGTGCAATCAGAACCGATTAAATCATTACCCGACATGCTTGTTTAGTTCGGTATTTTCATCTGAACCAAACCAATCGAGTAACTTTAGTAGCAATATGTTCCGTGACCAATGTTAGACATTAGTGTAATTTGTCCTGATGCATCTCAGTAATCCAGGAAGAAAAAATCAAAAAGAAAAAATAAGTAGGTCCTCTGGATGGGTTCTTCTTTAGTGAAAAGTTTCATCTCTCCCCCAAGAGACTTCTTCAGTCTGATGAATATGAGTCATCAGTTTCACATATGTGGAGGGAGTTTCAGAGAAACTGAGACGTTTATTCTCTAAACATGAAGTCCCAGTAGCTTTCAAACCCCAAAACACATTACGGCAAAGGCTGGTTCACCCCAAAGATCCGGTGCCCCGGCACAAACAGAGCAATGTTGTGTATGCTGTTAAGTGTCAGGAGGACCACCAGATGTCGGTAACAACCCAAGTGATCCATACATACAAAGAAATCAAACCATGAATGTCCAGAAATTAAGTTACTTGTAATAATGTGGAATGGCACAGGGAAAAAGTATTGAACTTAGTATTGAAGTATTGAATTTATCTGATACTTTGTACAAAAGCCTTTGTTGTCAATGACAGCTTCAAGACGCCTCCTGTATGGAGAAACTAGTGGCATGCATTGCTCAGGCATGATTTTGGCCCATTCTTCCACACAAACWGTCTTCAAATCTTGAAGGTTTCATGGACCTCTTCTATGAACTCTGATCTTTAGTTCTTTCCATAGATTTTCTGTTGGATTCAGGTCAGGTGATTGGCTGGGCCATTCCAGCAGCTTTAGTTTCTTTCTCTGAAACCAACTGAGAGTTCCCTTGACTTTGTGTTTGGGCTCATTGTCTTGCTGAAATGTCCAGCCACGTTTCATCTTCATCATCCTGGTAGATGAAAGCAGATTTTTATCAAGAATGTCTCTGTACATTTTTCCATTCATCCTTCCTTCAATTACTTGAAGTTTGCCAGTACCATATGCTGAAAAACAGCCCCACACCATGATGTTCCCACCTCCAAACTTCACTGTTGGTATGGTGTTTTTGGGCTGATGTGCAGTGCCATTTGACCTCCAAACATGATGTGTATTCTGGCATCCAAACAGTTCAATGTTGGTCTCATCTGACCAGACTATATTCTCCCAGTATTACACAGGCTTGTTTAAATGTTGTGCAGCAAACTTTAAAGGGGCTTCAACATGCTGTTTCTTCAGCAGTGGTGAGCGTGCATACAGGCCATGGTGGTTCAGTGCATTACTTATTGTTTTCTTTGAAACAAACGTACCTGCTAATTCCAGGTCTTTCTGAAGCTCTCCACAAGTGGTCCTTGGCTCTTGGACAACTCTTCTGATAACTCTTTTCACTCCTCTGTCAGAAATCTTGCGAGGAGCACCTGGTCGTGGTCGGTTTATGGTGAAATAATGTTCTTTCCACTTCTGAATTATGGCCCCAACAGTGCTCACTGGAACCTTCAGAAGTTTAGACATTCTTCTGTAACTGATGCCATCATTATGCTTTGCAACAATAAGGTTGTGAAGGTCTTGAGAGAGCTCTTTACTTTTACCCATCATCAGATGTTTCTTGTGTGATACCTGGCCATCATCTGGGACTGAACCAGCTGATATTAATTTGCACTGACAAGGGGCAGGCTTGCTTTCTAATTACTGAGAGAGTTCAGCTGATGTGTTGCCTTTCCATGCCTTTTTACACCTCCCTTTCTTCATGTGTTCAATACTTTTTCCCTGTGCCATTCCACATTATTACAAATAACTTCATTTCTGGACATTTATGGTTTGATTTCTTTGTATGTATGGATCATTTGGGTTGTTACCGACATCTGGTGAAAATTTCATGTCATTAGCTCCTCTAGTAATATATTTACTGAGAAAAATGTTGACGTGTTCAATACTTATTTTACCCGCTGTATACATTGGGGAAACAAACAGCCACTGTTCAAAAGAATGAGCCAGCACAGACGAGCTACATCATCAGGTCAGGACTCTGCAGTTTACACTCATTTACAGGCCAGCTGTCACTCTTTCAAGAATGAAGATGTTCTCATCCTTGATAGAGAGGAACGTTGGTTTGAGAGAGGAGTAAAGGAAACCATCTTTGTGAAGAAAAACCATCCACCATTAAACAGAGGTGGAGGCCTTCGTGTCCAGTTGTCCTCCTCCTACAATGCTGTTATTGCAAGTATGACTCAGCCCCCTGTGAGCAAAAGGTGTGAATCAGGGTCCCAATGATACCAACACAAAGAGGGAGAGAGGGACAAAAACAAGGGGACAGTGAACCCCCGCTTGCACTCACTACATACACATAACACAACACCACATAACCACAACATCTAAACCAATAAGTCAGGTGATGGGGCACATGACCCTCTATGAACAGTAGAGCCAATCAAGCCTATTGTTAGTCGATGGCCCTCTTTTGCATGTGACCAACCTGTTTGTCCATGTGGAGGCAGTGCTTATAAGGTTGAGTTCACCTGAAACTCATCTGACTGAAGAAGTCTCTTGGAGGAGAGACGAAACGTTTCACTAAAGAACCGATCCTGAGGACCTACTTATTTTTTCTTTTTGATTAGTGTAATTTGTTTTTGCTGATTCTTAGTCACCCAAGACAATTAAAAGAAAAAAACGACAAAGCAACTGGACTTCTGTTCTGTAGCTGAAAACATGTGAGCCATAAGATTTAAACTGCATGACTCCAGGTTAATTGGATTGATCTCCTCACAGATGTAAAAAAAAAGTCAGATAAACACAAGCGTTCAGACTGCAGTCGCTGTGGAAAATCATCAGAAATGTATTTGATTCAGGATTATATCCTGAAAAAGCCAGGATCAGATCTGAAAAAAATCGGATTTGTCTCATTCAGATCAAAATCAGATTTGGGTCGCATTTGCCTGTAGTGTGAATGTAGCCTAACATTCTAAAAAAGGATTATTTTTTTTTTATCTTTGCAAACTATCCGTACAATGCTAGGACTGATAGTAAAGCAAGGGCAATTTGAAGATGCAGATGTTTAGAAAGAGAGGCATGATGGAGATATACTGTAAGATTCTATAGAGCTGTCACAGAGTGGACATGTGAGTCTGATAGGTAAAAAAAAACTCCATATTGACGCCACAATACATATGTTATAAAGTGTAATGACAAGAGAGGAACCACCTCAACAACAAACAAGAAGGAACAGCTGTTTGATTACTTACATCTGTGTCGGGTCCTTTATCTGCCCCCGGGCAGGAGAATGTGACAAGTTCATGGCACCTCTTGTGAACCACAAAACAGCAAACTGCAGTGTAAGAAAAGAGGAAGTAAAACAGAGATGAGAAGAGAGTTCAAGAGAAAAAAAAAACAGAGAAATACATAGACAGATGGGAAAGACAGGGAAAGAAAAAAAAGAAAGTGAGACATGGTTAAAATCCAGTGTTTTATCACTGACCAATGCATACACAGACTACAAAAAAGAGATGCAGATTTGATCACACAATGAGGGACTGAAACAAATGACTAATGTCTGGGCTAGGTTCTGTGTCGTGTTCCCAAATGGCCAGTCCTGCCTGCAAGCTGGCTGCTCTTATTGCTCAGCGCCACTTCTATACTAACATGACAGGAGCCAACCTCGAGCCCACACAAGCACATTTAATGCAGACGAAGACAAACACACGTTTGCGGAGTGACACTCTAGGCCTAATATGCAAACACCGAAGACACATGCGGGCCTTTGCACTTGAATTCCTGTGCCCACGCTGTCAGAGCACACAGAGTCATTCTCTGGGACTCGCTGCCAGGTCACTGAGTACACTGGAGCAGGCAGCCAGTGGAAAGCAGCTGAGTCAGTGTGGAAGATGGCGCCTGTTACCAGCTCTCAGTAAGTGGAGAAACAGAGATGGGACAAGGGTGAGGAGGACTAAATGGCCATCATTAAAAAAAATAAATAAATAACTGCATTCATGTGTCCAGGCTATGAACAAATAAGCTTTTCTTTACACCCCACTCTCTGTCTGACAAGTTCATGTTTTCAAGGCCAGAGCAGCAGCATAAGATAAAAACTAAATCTAAAAAGTTTGTTTTTAGTAGTTTTTTATTCTCAGTATCCACAAACTATTAAATATGCGCACTGCATCAGTTAAGTGATGCATCTTATAAGGGCTTGCTTCTCTTTCTCTTTTATTTTTCAGTTGATCTGCTCCCATCAAAGCATGGGGGTGTTTGTTTTAAGTGAAATCATAATCCCAAACATACAGGTTTTATCAACTGTAACTTGATACTGTAACTGTAACAACTTTTATGAAGAAATAAAATAAAATCACTGTTAACCATTTTATAAAATTCAACCATACATACAAATCTTTTCTCTCCTGATTGTTGGTGTAAAATGCTCATTAAACATGTTTGTCAATTTAAAATTATGAAATATAAATAATCAGAATCAATTCAATGTTAGTTATTACAAACTGCACAATATGAAAATAAATATTAAGTACATTTTTTCTTTTTATACGTAAAACAAAATAAGTTGTGTTTTGCTGTGTGTTGGATGAAGTTTGTTGAAGCTGAAACTGAATTGTTTCAATTAAAACAATTAGAAATATAGCTAAAACTACCAAATGTTAACTAAAAGTTAAAACAGAACTGTAGTGAAATGTTAAAATGAACAAAACAACAGATATATCTAAAATGACTAGAGTCATAGCTAAAAGAGACATGAAACAGTATCAATATACTGGGTGGACTCATTTTTTAGCTTTTAGATACTGTTTTTCAAATTTCAATTGTTGGATAATTTTTAGTGGTAATCAACATTCACACAAATACACCAGTTAGTCTATTTAGGATGTACGAAAGTGTGACAGTGCAGATTTTCTAAAATAATATAAACCAATTCATTTTTATTTTTGTTATTTTGTTTTCTTTGGTTTTTCTTAAAATGTCTACCAAAATACCCAGGCATTAATCAAGAAGGAAGCCTTTAAACACAAAATAAAAACTCACAGAAAGCCATTACTTTTGAGAAAGGTAAAACTCCACAGACTGGTTTGAGCCGAGCCACACATTATATTTTGTTTATGAATCATTATTCTTTTTGGCACCTTATCAGGAGTTACAGCATCATCAACAGGAAAGTCTGCATTTCAGATCACCTGAATTCAGACACATTGCAAAAAAGAACAAAAACATTCCTTCACCAGTCCACATTACAAAAACATGGTGGTGTTATATGTTTTTTTCAGAATGTGGGTGGAAACAACCATGTCAATGTGCACAAATTTGGATTTCTGCTTCAAATGAAGTGTAGTTTACGTCTGCGTTTCTCAGGAATTCGTTCAGGACATGAACTGTTCTGTGTTTGGTTTTACTGTAAATATATAATAGAATAATCTAAATATATATAATAAATGTTTTATTAACGTAGTTTAAAAAAATACATTTTTAATGTCTTAAAGATCTGGAGGGAAAAAAGCCTCCATGATAAATCTATAGTCATTGGTAATGCTCTTATTTTTTTTACTACAAGAACATGATACATTTGTAAATATTTAAATGTGTTTTTTGCTAAAACAATACAAGTGGCTGCTAATTTCCTTGAAAAGCATTCATCTGAAATGTACCTAGTCAAATATTAGTTGATAAAAGTGTTAGCATTGTAAAAACAAATACATAGATGAATACAAGAATTGCTGCCATACTACAAAAAGCCCCATCAAAGAATAATACAAATATAGTTAACACTTTATAATAATTACATCCTATGTAGCTTTACTTAATCATTAATGAGTGACTATTTAACCTTGAAAACATTCTTAATTAATTGGGGTGTAAGAAAATGTTGATAAACGTAAATATTGCAATATTTTATTTTTCTATACTGAATTGATTCTCTATAACTTAGATAATAACTTTTTTGTTTTGTTTTTGCCTTTTTTTGGGGGGGGGGGTAATAAAATCTAATAAAAAAATTCCATGCAGAGTAATTTACAACAAAAAAAGTTTTATTACAAGGCTTGTTTTATACTTACAATGGTTCATATACTGTAGTGACATCATAAATGCTTTTTTCCTAACTGTCTGTCTGAGACCATGGACCAACTGCTAACAAAAATATGATGGGGATGAATCAGAGAAAGAGCACTATTTGAAACAGAAACACAACTAATGGTCAGTAAACTAATGGAAGTCCGAGCTCCGGTTTAAAGAGTGTTTTATTGGAGGCAGAGACAGCCAACAGATGGTCTCTTCACGTGTGCTTCTCACTTTGAAACATGAAGAGGAAAAGTGTGAAAGTGATGCAGGGAAACCAGAACACTCTGCGGCAACAAAAATCATTCTTGCTCATTAGTGTTCCATGATTCTCAACAAAATGGGAACTTCAGGGGGTGGGGGATTATTAATTAAAATTATAATACTAGATGCAGGATTACTTTAACAAAGAGTGGAAGTGGTTGTGTGGCCCCTTATGTGACCAGTCAATAAGGATGGGTGATATGGACTAAAAAATTGATCACGATAATTCCTAGGTTTTATCACGATAACAATAAATGATGATAAAAATATATATTTCAGCCTAATCTATTGTTTTATAAATCTATCATTACATTCTCTCTTAAGAGCACTAAAATACTAGAAGCCACTAAACTATATTAAGTTCAAGTAGGACACCTGTGTTGCAAAACTGACACCCATCAAACAAGTCTGAAATATGAGAACCAATTTGACATTAAGTTAAGTGTAAACAGCAAAGATTATCAATAATAATGGACAATGGTTGATATGATAAATCTTAAATCACATCCTCTTTGCACTAACCATTATCTTTGTAAAAACTCAGAAGAACACTAACCCTTGTAAAATATCAGTAATAGAATAAAATAAAAAAAATCTATAAGAAAATACTTTTTACCTATTACTGAAAATAATGTGTTTTGCTGCTCTGGGAGGTAAAGCTACAATATGTGTCCTAAAGGGTTTAATGTTCAGGGGAGGGAGGGGCTAGTTGTGTGAGTGGAGAGAGACGAGCCACGCTGCCTGTAGCTGGGACAGAGGAGCTGTGTTTTATTGTGGGTCCAGCAAGCTGAAGCTTCCCCGTCCTGTTGTTTTTTTTTTAACATATTGTTGAGCTCTAAAGAGTTTTAGATGGCTATGACTGCATTTTTTGTACGTTGAGAGTCATTACGATAGCTTTTTTGCTTTATTATTTGTAGCACATGCTCCGCACATCGATGAGTAAACTGGGTAAACAAACAAAGCTTAACCTGGCGGGGAGGCATGTAAAGTCTGGCGGCACGCAGTTTATCTTTTTTATTGCGAGATGACAAATTATTACCATTGGTGAATGTCTTTGACGGTATATCACACACGATAACACATCGCCCATCTCTACCAGTCAAAGTTACTTAACCTAAAAGCTCAGCTGATAAGGTCTGTTGAGCCTGAAGTCAACACTCCAAAAATAAAATAAAATAATAAAATAAAAAACAAGCATTTACTGAAGGAAGGCTCATCACCTGCTGTCTTGTATACAAAAAGTTTAGATGAATCTCAACTATTAACCTCCACATTTTATCTGAATATCACTAAAACTGCTTAAATTATAGGCATCTTAGTGTTTGCTAAAGTTGATTAGCTATTGCAACTAGCTTGAATCAGGTTGTCTTCAAATGTTAATCAGCTGTAGGCATACGTCCAAAGACTTCCTGAGAGTTTCATTAAAAATATTCCACTGGTTCATGAGATATTTTGCTAACAGAATAAACAAATGAACAGCTTCACACAAACGTACACACACAGTGTTACATGATTGCCTGCTTTTCATTGAGGCAAGACTGAATTATTTAACAACTTCATTTAATGTGTTTTTTTAAACGCCAATCGACAAAGCAGTAACAGTGGAGCAGAACCAATTTCTTCTATTTTCTCATGTAAGTAACTTCAGCAAATTGATGAATGACCATTTTTATTACATGTTTAATACGAATATTGGGATACATTTCAAACAAAGAATCATAAACAACAATGTTTAGTTTGATTTATGGACCACATTAAATAGTAAACAGTTTGACTGCAAACATATTTGTATTCACACAAAATCAATACTAGCCTGCAAACGCACACCTACAACATCAATATCAAGCCTCCCTCGTGCCTCAGAGGAGCAATCAGTCAGAGGAGTCAATGACCAGTAAGAAACATAAGTCACAGCCGCAGGCAGACAGCTTAGACATGTCTGTAACAGAGCCTGTATAGTTCATCCTAAACTGTTGTCAGAGGCTGATGGGACTGAGCCAGAGGTGG